CCAAAAAAACAAGAATATTCCACCACCTCATGCCTTTGTTATTATACTGACAGACTATAAATGTTTGCCCTCACAAAAAAATTTAAGGAGTTTACGCCACAGTAAAAAGACACAATAGTGACCTCTGCTGTGACAAATACTTTAGAAATATTTACATGTATTACCGGAAATTTACATAATCCCTTCTTCACACTATATGCAAAAGCAACTCAAATTTATTTAGACTCCCATTTAGGATTCACACTAGACACATTGACTCTACAAAGCAGAGTTTCGGAATGCAAAAAGCACATTGAATTGCATTGAATATGCTTTAGGAATATATTCATCAACAAAATAATTAGCAATAAAAGCTTTTGTGGCACAATATTAAGATAACACATTCTTTGGACAAAAGACGTGTGTTGGGCTTCATGAAAGCATACAGGCACACAAACAGCAATTGCTATTCACCAAACCTGACTGAATCCAGAAGTAAACTGACCAATTACTTTTCCTTGAAAAAGTAAAGTAAGGGATTACTTTTAATTTTTATGTCATTTAATTACAGTTACTAGACTGTATAGCGCAATTCTATATAAAACAATAGTGAATTTAACACCAAAATGTAACTATAAAATGTACATTCTTAATGTAAACTTGGGCCCATACTTCGGTCAGTTCAAGAATAATTTATGCAATTTTATATTATTTATGTGAAAGAATAAAAAAAACAGCTTATGTCTATCCTATCTATGTTCAACTGGTCCAGGTTGATACAGGATTTATAAAGTAATTAGTAGTTAGCCTATCAAATAATAATAATAATAATTTTTTTTTTTACAGTAACTTAATCAACATTGGTTACTAGCAGTGTTGGTTAAGTTACTGTAAAAAAAATCAAAGAGCACAGCATGCTTTTTATTACACAGAGCAGCTGTCTTGGCGCCCAATCTCTACCTCGAAGGACTAAACTAACAGAAATAGGGGTAGCGTTGCAGACGAAATGGATATTAAACTAATGAAACAGCAAGAAGCTCATTAAACAATCAATTATTAATAAGTGTAATTGATTTGTATTGATATATGACGTCCCTGAGCTCAATTTACTATTCCTTTGAACATTTATAATAAACAATACATATAAGTCTCCCTAAAAAGTCAAGTAGACTCGTCCGTTCGTCCCGCCTCTTTCGCCATTTTGACTGTTATGTCTGTCTCGTGAGGGGATGGAAGGTACAATTTGATAGTACAGAAGAGTAAATATCGGGCAAATTTATCAGGTGTGCAGATATATTTATCTTCACTTAACCCTTCTTCTCTGAGAGGAGGAGGGTGTTTGATTCGGCTGGTTTCTGAGGAGAGTTGTGTGCATAAGCCGCCATGTACATTAAACAGGTAAGAGACTGAGATGCGGCTCACACGTTGCGTGTGAAATTATGATTTATATGTTGAATTATGCGATTAAACTACTTATTCACGTATGTCATATGTGCACAAAACGCATTTTTCTTTATCTTGAGCATGTTGGGTTGTAGTTTTTGAGAAGTACACGGCCTTAGCTTTAGTTAGCATTAGCTTTAGCATTAGCTGTCAAACCCCCCTCAAACATTGCGATAAAATGTATAATGCAACATTTATATTGAACATTTCCGATTGAAGATAACTTTTTATTTGCTGCTGCTGTGCAGATGTGAGCAAACTACTAGTAGAAAATAAAATTATAGCTATTTCTCATGTAAATACTAATACGGCGTTATGTATTATGTAAATAATTCATAAACTGCTGTTGTACATACACATACATATCTCTGTGTACGTTTTTGTTTGGATTATACTCATATTTTAGAGCATATTTGGATGAATAGCATTCTGTCAGGTTGTATTACTATAACACTATTTTGACGTTATACAGTATTTAATATGATATTTTGTGTAATGTGTCTTTCAGGTTATTATTCAGGGGTTTCGCAGCTACAGAGATCAGACTGTGGTTGATCCCTTCAGCTCCAAACACAATGTTATAGGTAAGACTGTCCCACACACACAGAGAGAGAGAGAGAGAGAGAGAGATATATATCAATTTTGTTTGTTACATAAAAAATAAGAAAGCCAGAAAGAATAAAACTAGACTATTAGAATAAAAAAATACAATATAACACAAAATTGTGATTATAATGTACTAAAATAGAATAGAAAATAAGTTGGAATTAAGTGTAAAAAGTAGAAAAAGAGTACAACCCTCTACATTGCGAGTAAATCACTCGCATATGCGTCTAAATCTTACTCTGGGCGACTAAATAATGTCTAACCTTAGCCATTGGCTAATAAATTCTTAGATTTTACACGCCAGTATGTGTGTGAGAGGTGTTCAACACAGATTTTCACTCGATAAACACGCTGACTGAGCGCTATGACAAATATGCATTCATTCATGGTTACCAAGTTTTAGTTCTAATCACTAGTTCTATCATCAAATAGTACTTAATTATCATAATATAATGCTTGATTGGCTGAAGTTAAGAGTGCACATTCAGTTATTTAAGAAGCTGTTCCATTTTACAAAGATAAGCTGATTGTGTGGAATCATATGTGTGTGTACTTAATCATATTTTGTGGACAAATTTGTACCCAAAAGTGAGCAAAACCTGACAAAATCGGCAAAAAACTCAATTTGTGGATGTCCTCATTTCTAAAATGGTTATAAAAATTAAGTAAAAGTTTTTTTTTTTACTTTTAAAATTGTAAAAATACAGAGTTTTCTGTGAGGGGTAGGGGTGGGTTTAGGTTTAAAAGTGTATAACTATCTGTATATAAAACCAATAGAAGTCTATGTAATGTCCCCACTTAGATAGCTAAGTAAACGTGTGTGTAAAATAGTACATCAGTCTGGCATGTAAACAAGAAAATTTACTAGCCAATGGCGATTATATTGCCAAGGTGTGCGTAGAGGGTTGGAGTAGGTAATGGAAATGGAGTATGGTAAATGGGAAATATATTATTTAAAAGTATATATTTAAAGTTTTAAAATGTATTTTATTTTATTTTTTTTTACATTTCATTAATTTTCACAGTTGGAAGAAATGGATCAGGAAAGAGTAACTTCTTCTATGGTAAGTAAAAGTTATTTTTAAAAGTAATTTAATACCTCAAAAGACTGACGGTGCGGGTGAATAGTTTGTGATGGGCAATTTAATTTTTTCCCCCATCAGCCATACAGTTTGTACTCAGTGATGAGTTCAGTCATCTTCGTCCAGAGCAGCGTCTGGCTCTGCTTCACGTGAGTTATTTTATTCTATATTATTATTTTGTTTATATTCTATTTCAATAATAAAAAATAGAAAAAAACTCATGAAATTGAATTTGATTAAGTGTGATTATTTATTTTATTTTCCTTTTGATTATTTCTTATTTTCTATTTGTTTATTTAATTTTGTATATAAAAATAATTTTCACTAACCCTGCTAAACCATGTATTTTTATGTAATATTCAGGAAGGCACTGGTCCTCGAGTCATTTCTGCCTTTGTGGAAATTATATTCGACAACTCTGACAACAGGCTGCCGGTAAGAAATTTATCTTAAATGTTGTGACGTGCACTAAAGTAAAAACAGGTGAGTAACTTGACCTCATTACTCTCAGATTGATAAAGAGGAGGTGTCTCTGCGCCGTGTCATCGGAGCAAAGAAAGATCAGTACTTCTTAGACAAAAAGATGGTCACGTAAGTTTAGTTCTCATAAAACTGTAACATATCAGAAGAGCTTTGACTGCTGAAAGCTATAGCTGAATGGATTGTGTTCTGTGTTTTTAGTAAGAACGACGTGATGAACCTGTTGGAGAGTGCTGGTTTCTCCCGCAGCAACCCTTACTACATCGTCAAGCAGGGAAAGGTACGCTAGTGTCCCTTGACATGGGACAATTGATTTATTAATGGGTTGTTACAAGTATTCATGATTTTATTTAAAACCTCTTAAAGGCATAGTTTATATAAAACTGAAAATTGTCGCTTACCCATCCTCCACTTGTTCCAGACCTGTATGAGTTTCTTTCTTCTGTTGAACACAAAAGAAGATGTTTTGAAGAATGCTGATGCGCCATAGTATGGAGAAAATATACTATGGAAGTCAATGGCTCCCGTCAACTGTTTGGTTACCAGCATTCTTCAAAACATCTTCTTTTGTGTTCAACAGAAGAAAGAAACTCATACAGGTCTGGAACAAGTGGAGGATGGGTAGATGGCAAAAGTTTCTTTTTTGTGAACCATAGGGCTGGGCGATATGGCCAAAAAAATTATCACAATAAAAATTTTCATATCGATTAGTTATCACGATAAATGTCAAATCATTATTTATTTCAAATTTAAAGACATATTTTTGCTCCTAAGTAAAATTTGTAGAAACCAGACCGTTAATTGTGGTTTTAAGCTACTCTTTGTCAAGAACATGACAGACACTTCACGTTTTTGAATTATTTACATTTTTCCAGTCATTTTTCCTTAATAAAAAAAATATTTCTTAAGTTTCTTCCTGCGCTAACAGGTGATATTGCTTCAACTATATTTAACAGGTTTGTGTTGCTTGACTTTGATGGCACATATCTTTGGCACAGTTTGAAGTGCAGGCTGCAATATTAATAATGTGACTATAATATGACAGTTGACAGTAGTAGGCTAGTAGCTTGAGTTAGAATACAGATGTAAATTTATCTTCATTAACAAAAATAGTAACATAAGTAAAAACTGTAACAACCTCTTTTTTTTAAATGGTAAAATTTAAATATTCTGACTGTTTGAGTTTTATTACAGTTGACCATTGGTCGTTCATAGTAGCATAAATTTAGATCATGATAACCACAGTTAAACCATGCGTTTAGTATAAATGCACAAATTCTATAGCTTAATTACTAGGGATGCACGATATATCGGCCACCATATCGGTATCGGCTTTCAAAAATAAAGAATAATCGGTTATCGGTATCGGCCAAAATTTTCATATCGGTGCATCCCTATTAATTACTGCAATTGTATTCCATTAGGCTACTCCTTTAATACATTTAATACATCTACATTAATAATATAATAACATTGTATGAATATCCCACATTTTTGCCACAGTTAGTGTTGCTACAGTAAATCCATGGTAAATTATGGCGATTTGTAGAAAGCCTTCCGACTGTTTTGTTGCACACACTGATTCTCAGCGCTGTTTCATCTGGCTTTAAACTAGTTTAAATTACATAGTCGTGTTCTTCGCTGAATTCAAGCACTTTTCACTGGATCTCACATTGCTGTTTAGTGTCGCGTGATCAAGTAAATGCATCTGCTGTAGTAAGCTCGCGCTGCACTGCTGTTTGGGCTTTGAGCCGAGCAGATAAATGGTCATTGTGGCGCGCTTCAAATGAGTAGCCTGTATAACTGGATTCATGCTACATTTTTATCGACAATTTCGTCATCTTTGGACGATAACTCAAGGTTAGCTTTGATTTTGTTTTTACTTTTGTCACCGCATCCACACATTTTTTCCTCCTCATTTCGAGGAAATGGGCTTGTATTTTTGACTGCGACTGTACATGTGACTGGCTGTTGTCGCGTTTATTTCTGCTGTGTAATTGGCTGTTAGATTAATCCATATCGAGTAAAAATGTTCAGAGCTTATCATTGTTATCAGCATAAATATCATTGCTATTCGATATGATATTGTTTATTGGCCCAGCCCTAGTGAACCATCTCTTTAAATTGCAGCTAAAACATTGTTTTTCAGCCCTCTGGGACTGTAGTAAGCAACATAATCTTTCAATAACATTAATGCTCATTTACAAACAAGAATGTGGCTCTTGGGATTAAAGCGGTGCTAATGCTATTGCTACACATTCTAAATGAGTTGGCTCACTTTGTTGCACTCATTTTATTTTCTGAAACATGAAAATAGATCAATCAACTTTTTGTCCATTTATTATTTTGTGAAACTAAATTGTTTTAATTAATTGCTAAAGCAGTGCAGGAAACACTGCAGTAGATGGTTGTACTGTGGTTGTAGATGGTACTGTTGTTGTTTTTTATGGTCAAAGGTTTGTGACATGCAGTTTGTTCTTGCGTGTATGTGTACAGAGGGCAAGCGAGAGAAGATTAATGAGCTGCTAAAGTACATTGAGGAACGTCTGCACACTCTGGAGGATGAGAAAGAGGAACTGGCTCAGTACCAGAAGTGGGACAAAATGAGAAGAGCTCTGGAGTACACCATCTATAACCAGGAGCTCAACGAAACCCGGGCCAAATTGGACGAGGTACACACATCAATTCTTACTTGTCATCACTTTCTCGATCTAATTCGGCAATTACAGAAAATACATCAGCATTCAGCACTGTATAATGCTTTGTTGCTGATGTTTTTATTGTAGCATTATTATTTAAAGATGTTGTGATTCTCTCCTCTAGTTGTCCTCTAAGAGAGAGACCTGTGGAGACAAATCTAGACAACTGCGAGATGCTCAACAAGATGCTCGAGACAAAGTGGAGGTAAACTGAGCTCATCAGCAATGTTCCCTCTAAGCTGCACGCGAAGAAATAATAATTGGAAGAAATAATAGGCTGCACATAGGACGTGTGGGGAAAGTCATTTGATTGAATTCTGGTAAATGCAAAATAATTGCAATGCTCGGGCAAATCTCTATAGAGTTAGATACTCTGAATGCGGTTTACAGGTTTCATAGAAAGAGAATGATGTGCGCCAAATGAGTCGCTGTAGAAATTGAATACTTTAATGGCTGCAGACAAAATAACTCAACACGAGAGCCAACGCAAGCACAATGGCATGTGAAATAAAATGTCATCACGTTTTAAAGAAGAGTGTCTTGATTAAGTGCTGGAAATAGCAGATGATGGGCACAGAATGGTAACAAAACTCTTGAGACATTAACAGTCACACACAAGTGTAGTAGTGTGCAAACTATTACAAAGGGATTCACATGTTTTTCACAGATCTCAGTTTAAATGCTTCATTTTGTTTTCTATTCTATCAGTTTATATGCTTCAGTTTATTTTTATATTACATTATAAGCCTATTAAATAATTGACTTCAAAAAGGGAATTCATGAGCAATATCTGCTTCATTTTTTCAGATATTATATTATTTTAAAGAATTGAACAGTTCTGTGTCAAAAAACAACAACTTTTTAATAGAATTTCTTGGTAACACGGCACTGTAAAAAAAATCTCAGGTAACCTAAAATATGCATCATTCAGTTACATCAAGGGTCAAATCAAATATAGCACATTAAAGTTAAAAGTTACACACTTTTTTTGTGTGTGTGCTGAACAGGTCTGGTATAAAGAATGTTTTTGTTCAGGTGGCCAAAATGTCCGCCCGATAGAAAAAAGTTGCTCAGCAAGAAAAAAAATTTGAGGGAACATTGATCATCAGTGTGTTAATAACTGATGCTTGTGCATGTTTCTTGTTCTGGAAAAGTGCTAAAACACTCAGAACATTTTAGCAACTATATAACAACGTCCAAGCAACCGTCAGACTGTCTAACATCATAATGAAACGTATTGCATGGGAATTTCACATTTTCTTCTCAAAATGTAAACAGTCCAGTTGATTACACTTTAACCAGCTTGTGCAGTCCCACGTCGCAAATAACAGAAACCGTTTATTTTATAGAAGTATTAGGAGGGAAACATTTTTTCCTTTAGATTAGCATGCATTGATGAATGAAGACCAGGAACATTTATTGTAAAAGTGATTAGTTTTGATTTCAAATTCACCTTTCATCCAGTGTGTTTAAGAAATTGAAAATAAAGTATTAAAATGTGAAGATTTACCAAGAATCTGCCTTCGCACGTTATATAACAGCTTCTATTGTGTAATCTTATCTAACCTCAATGTCTCTGTAGGAGACTGAGCGTGTGGTGAGGGAGCTGAAGGCTCGAATCTCCGCCATGAAGGAGGAGAAAGAACAGCTGAGCACCGAGCGACAGGAGCAGATCAAACAGAGGACCAAACTGGAGCTCAAAGCCAAAGATCTGCAGGACGAGCTGGCAGGAAACAGCGAGCAGAGGGTACGACTAGCAGACGCTCACACACAAACACATGCACACGCTACAGGCACACATATGCACTGAACACACACGTTTCAAAGAAGTGCCATCTTGGAAAAAAGAAAGTTACTTTTTGGGGGAAAAAATTGCTTAGATTTTATTAAAGTTTAAGGTGATTTTACACTACCATTTAATAAGATTTTTTTTAAATTTTTCAGCATCATCACTCCAGTTTTCAGTGTCTTGTGATCCTTCAGAAATCATTCTAATATTCTGATTTGCTGCTCAAGAAACATTTCTTATGATAATGTTGAAAACAGTATGCTGCTTCATAATTTTGTGGAAACTTATGTATTTTTTTTCAGGATTCTTTGAAAGTTTAAAAGAACAGCATTTATTTCAAATAGAAATGTTTGAAACGTTATAAATGTCTTTAAAGTGCACCCTTGTTGAATAAAAGCAGGGCTCGAAATTAACTTTTTTACTTGGGAGCACTCACCAAAAATTTAGGAACACCACAACTACAAATGATATATTAACAGATTTTATCCTTACATTCTTAACTTTAATGCAGATTTTGTATTGGTTCATATTAGCTGTCAATCTCTCAGTCACCGCTTTCCGCTAACTACTGCGAGAAAAAAAAGGGCTGAAGAAGAGAGAAAGTGAAAAGAACACTGACAGATTTCTTTTGTAGATAACCTAAAGTTAAGTTCTTCTTTGGCGAGGGTTAGGATGGTGTATGCAGTGTTAAATTTTCCATTCAGCGCTGCCAGTTGCACCGAATGGCTGGCAGCTAGGGGTGTGCGATATTGACAAAAACTTATATCGCAATATTTTCTGGGATATTATCGATAACAATAATTTGATAGTGTTACTGTGCTGATATCTTAAGGACTACAGTGGACAGCTGACTCCTAAAATTTTCAATATTCATATTCTGTGTGGTGGTCAGTTCACAGCAGTGACAGAAATGAATCTTTTCCAATAAGTTTAAATAGATTTTTACCTTTTATGGTCATTTTTACCTTAAAGCCATTTTTTGCACTCTCTGTAGGTGTGTTTTGTTTGGATTTTGCAATTTACTCGATAATGTCAAACCGCACATCGTAAAACAATTACGAAATGTGTAGATTCGATGGCGAACGCTGTCACCTGCAAACTCCGTCCCACAGGCTTTACAGTGAACGCAGTGCATAGAGCACACAGCACAGTGCATTTTCATAGCGAAGCCACTCGAATTCTTTAACCATTCTCTCCGAAAACTGTACGCCTTCTATTCGGCTGGTGGATCAACATTCACCACATGATCGCTATCACCAGCACCATTATTTGTAACTTTAGGTGGTTCACAAATTAAATCTGTCAGTGTTTTTTTCATTTTCTCTCTTCTTCAGCCTTTTTCATTCCCCCCGGTAGTTAGCTCCCTGTCACCTGACAGCGGAAAGCAGTGACTGGGTGATTGACAGCTAATATTAAACAATCTAAAATCTGCATTAAAGTTAAGAATGTAAAGATGAAGTTTAATTGGTTATGTAGCCTAACGTTTCATAGAACGGCAGACAGGTCACCGTATCAACACTCAGAAGGCACATACTCTGAACGTTTTTAGAGAAATTAAAACAGGTCGCACGACAACAATTATATGCACTCGCACAAATGCTCCCAAATATATTTTGAGGTCGCACAGATTAAATTTCGGGACCATATGTGACCAAAATGGTCGCAATTTCGAGCCTTGAAAAGTACATTTCTTTCACCAAAAAAGGCAAACAAATCCCTCCCAGCCTTATTTAAAAGACCTAAATTCAATAATGTGCAATTTTTTTTACTTTACTCTTTATGTCGTACAAGATTGCATAGAAGTATAAACCCTATTTCCTCTAACAAATATGCACCTGCTTGCTTTTCCTTATTGCGGTTGCTTTATTGGTCACTGCAAAAATAAAGTAGTGACTGAATTCACATACACAAACACACAAGTTTGATACACATGCTCACAAATGCAAACACACTCATAAATGCACACTAACAGCCAGAGAGCTGCAGGAAATGCTGGCAGGCACTAGTGAACAGAGGGTCTGTAGTGTCTCCGTCTGCGTCACTATCTACACACGCTCACTCCAGCCCGGGCTTGTAGCCAGACGCAAACACACACATAATGCTTGTGTATCCCTGTATGTGTGAAATACACACTTTCAGTCGACCCTCCTGCATCCCGGCTTGACTTAGAGAGGGATTAGCCCCACCTGGCCAAGTATGTGTGTGTTTTCCTATGGAGGAGAGGCAAAAGTGCGTCATTTGCCCTTTGATTGTTGAATGTGAATGTAGGTTTGCTCGGATGGAGATCCCCTTTGTTCTGCTCATGACGCTGAATCTACACACCTATTTGTGCACAGTTTACTCTTCTCCATTTAAATATGAACACCTCTTCACACATCTGCGCAACATTTATTTAGGCTTTCTATAAAAAGAGGCGAGACTCCAGAATTGATGTCGCTATTTGTGATTCAATACTCTGTCCCCTCTGGCTTCCTGTCTAACAGAAACGGCTGCTCAAAGAGCGCCAGAAGCTTCTGGAGAAGATTGAAGAAAAACAGAAGGAGCTGCAGGAAACAGAACCCAAATTTAACGCTGTGAAAGAAAGAGAGGAGCGAGGAATTTCCCGGTAAACTCTTTGAAGTGTTGAAAGGGCCCATGAAGTGTGGGACCCAGTCTTCTTTTTTTGTGTTGATGTACTTCCTATTCAAACAGGAAGTTGGGGTGGGACATATTGAAGGGCTTGCTTTTTGTTCTCCTTTTAAATGCCTGTAATTTGTTAATGTTCTTCACGTCACAGTCCTTCAAAACTGTAATTTGTTTATTGCTTCTGATACTACGTTCAAATTGTATAGATTTTTAGTTGATAAAAATGGCAGTATTTATTTATTTTTAAACGGTTTGCTGTTCTTTTTCATTGCATGGTCAAGAATTTGGATTGCCCATTTTTCATGATCCAGTCAAATCCTTGTGTATAAAATCAAGTCCCATCCCTTTTATGTTCCCACAATTATTCACTAAATGTATGTAGGAGGATAAGTGCATTTATAAATGTTTTTAATGTGTTTAAGGAATACTTGAAGTATGTTTTGTTGTGTTTGTTTGCATTTTTCAGACTGGCTCAAGCCACACAAGAGCGAACAGACCTGTATGCCAAACAGGGCCGAGGCAGTCAGTTCACCTCTAAAGAAGAGAGGGACAAATGGATCAAGAAAGAGCTGAAGTCTCTGGATCAAGCCATCAATGACAAGAAACGGCAGATCGCTGCCATCCACAAAGATCTGGAGGACACTGAAGCCAATAAAGAGAAAAACCTGGAACAGTACAATGTAAGATTTGGGCTACGTTCGACTAGTTAAAAACTTATCGTGGTATTGATATGTAACTTTCGCCAGTTTTATGGCCAGCGTTTATTCATTAGTTCACCCAAAACTGAGAAATTGATTAAAAAAAAAAAGGTCATCCAAGATGAAGATGAGTTTGTTTTTTCATGAGATTTGGAGAAATATAGCATTACATTTGCTCAGCAATGGCTCCTCTGCAGTAAATGGGTGCCGTCAGAATGAGTGCAAACAACTGATAAAAACATCACAATAATCCACAACTAATCAACACCACTCTAGTCCATCAGTTGTCTTGTGAAGTGAACATGTGTTTGTTTTTAAGAAACAAATAAATCAAGACGCTTTTAACTTCAAACCGTTGCTTTTGATTAAAAAAAATAGTCTATAATCCATAATATTTGCTTTCCCCAGTGAAAAAGTCATCTTATCTGAATCAGGAGAGAAATATGCACAAATCAAACACTGTTTACAAGGACAAACAGTCCAAAAAGGTTCTAAAAAGTATGTGGGTGTATTTAGATTTTTACTGTTGTATTTTTAGAGGACAACAGGGGATCAGAATTTTTTCACTGGAGAAGCGTTGTTATGGATTATGACTTTTAACTTTAAACTGTTACTTCTGACCAAAAAATGAAACGCCTTAATGATGGATTTGTTTCTTACAGTCACACATCTTTTCACTTCTCAAGATGTTAATTGATGGACTGGAGTGGTGTGGATTATTGTGATGTTTTATCAGTTGTTTCTGAAGGCACCGATTCACTGCAGAGGATCCATTGGTGAACATGTGATGTAATGATACATTTCTCCAAATCTGGTCTGATGAAGAAACAAACTAATCTTGGATGACCTGAGGATGAGTGAAATTTTGGGTGAATTATTCCTTTAAGATGTTTTTGAACCTTTAACATTTCTTCCCAACTTTGATTTCGGCCACAGAAACTGGACCAGGACTTGAGTGAAGTGAAGACTCGAGTGGAGGAGCTGGATAAGAAGTACTATGAGGTGAAGAACCGAAAGGATGAACTTCAGAGCGAGAGAAAGTAAGATCCTCCTGTTCCTATTCCCAACGCATCATGGGAAAATGTCTGGCTTTGGTCCATTTTTCCAACATCCCACCCTTTCTTATTACCTGTACGAACCGTTCCCCTCCTCACCTGGCATTTTAGTTATTAATAATCCACGAGCCATAGGTTTCACAGCACGATGAGGCTTGACGGATGGGCTATAGAATAGGGTCTCCCGCTGAACCCAGGCATAACATTTGTGAGCCAGGGCTGATGGGTGTGTCCGTGTCCCTCCTCCTGCAGCTACCTGTGGAGGGAGGAGAACGCAGAACAGCAGGCGCTGGCAGCCAAACGAGAAGAGCTGGAGAAGAAACAACAGCTACTGCGAGCAGCCACCGGAAAGGTTAGAAACCAAAACAGACCTGTGTGTTGTAACACATTGATGAATATTGCTGATTTTATTGTGTACGAGTCATCTGTGCATTATTTTTATTTATATAATATTTGTTTATAATTATATTGCATAAATGTCATATCGTTCTACACCCTTGAAAGATCTTTTCTGTTAACTCTCAAAATATGACCCTAGAATAGGGCTGCATAATTTTGGGAAAATGATGTATTATTATTAGTTTTATTATTGTATTTTTTTAGATTTAAAGACTTTTCTTGACCCAGACCTTTGGTCTGCACAGTTTTGCCAAGTTTCTTTTAATTTTTTTTTTCTTTTTTTATGGTACAAAATATTTACATCACTAATATTCATGGCTGTTTTAATTTCTTCTATTTCAAATGTTAAACATGGAAAAACTACAAGGAGCCCTTAAAGTGTCTATTTTGTTGACAAAAGCTGTTAGCAACCAAAACTGAGCTGATCTGAGAAACTGAAAACGCTGTATCATGAAAGGTTTGTGTGTAAATGAACACAATGCCATTCACTCTGAATATGCAGTGAATATTTTTATTTAGTTAAATCACAGAGATTTGTTAATCACATTAAGCCATATCATTATTTAGGTTTTATTGCGATTAATCATGCAAACTTACCACAGAGTTCATTATATGTAACCAGTGTGCATGTATTTAAAATCATGTAAAAATGCCGCCCACTCCGGTTCACTGAGTACCGGCTGAACTGAACCATATCTCCTAAGCTCAATTTGGCCGCTGGATCGTTTCTCATGGACTGAGTCAGTCACTAATTTTAGCAACTCTCCCACGTTACAAAAATATACATCAGTATATGAAGTGAGATTATCATAACTTCAGATCCGTCATCTGGACTTGAAATGAAAATATGAACTTTGAAACGCAATGTTTTGCTTGTTGTTTGCTTTTTCTCTAGGCTATTTTGAATGGCATCGACAGCATTAATAAAGTATTGGAACATTTCCGCCGGAAGGGCATCAGCCAACATCTCATCAACGGTTACCACGGCATCATCATGAATAACTTTGAGTGTGAACCTGCTTTCTACACCTGTGTGGAGGTGACCGCTGGCACCAGGTCAGACACATTGTTTATTATTAGTGTTTTCTGCTTGGTGTCGACCTGCATTCGTGCATTGATAGTTATGGAGTTGTGTGTGCTGGTGTTTGTTCAGGCTGTTTTACCACATCGTGGAAACGGATGAAGTGAGCACCAAGATTCTAATGGAGTTTAATAAGATGAACTTGCCTGGAGAGGTCACCTTCCTGCCCCTCAGCAAACTGGATGTCAGGGACACCGCTTACCCTGAGACTAATGTAAGCTTACACCACTGAACATGACATTTAAAATGCACCCTGCTGAATTTTCTAAATGCATGTTTTTTGATCTTGCGAACAATTTATCTGATTGTTTTATTTTTTGAAAAATTTGAGCTCATGATTTTTTTATCAAAAACTCAACCTTCCATCGAAATACCATACTTTTCAAATAATGTAGTCTGCTCAAATTCTGCTCCTTTTTTACGACCTTCTGCGAGCTCATTAATTTTCTTTTTTTCTGCATTTAAATTTTGTTATTCTGTTAAGCGCAAATCTATGCAAATAGTCTCTAATTACTTCTCTACACTTGCTGTAGGATGCAATCCCCATGATTAGCAAGCTCCGTTACAGTCCAAACTTCGACAAGGCTTTCAAACACGTGTTTGGGAAGACGCTGATCTGCCGCAGCATGGAAGTGTCCACTCAGCTGGCTCGAGCTTTCACCATGGACTGCATCACACTGGAGGGTAAACGGATGCGTTCTCATTTGTGTACTTTTTTTATTTTTTTTATTCAGTCCTGATTTTCAAATTAATTCTAAATCCTTGTTTTGGTATGTGTATCAGGTGATCAGGTGAGTCATCGTGGGGCTCTGACCGGTGGCTACTACGACACACGCAAGTCCCGTCTGGAGCTACAGAAGGACATGAGGAAGGCCGAGGAGGAACTTGGAGAACTGGAGGCCAAACTCAACGAAAACCTGCGTAGAAATATTGAACATATCCTCCTCATTTATGCCTCACACACAGGCTTGCTTATGACGCAGTGGCGTGAAATCAAATTGATTGAGTCCTAATGGTGTGTGTCTTGGCCAGTAGAGCATTATGGTATATTCGGCTTTGATGACACAAGGTCACAGAGGATCGCGGAATGAGTCAGCTAGTTATTAACGTGTATGCGGTCATGTGAGAGCTGCACACGTGGTGTTATATTAGTGAATAGAGGGATGAGACATTGACGTGACGTGACTGTCAAGGCCTCGAGTGGTGTTTATTTAAAGCTGGGGTAAATTTATTATCTCACTTGGCTTTGTGTGGCTCATACTCTGTGACTAATTCAGAATTAAAATGATGACGTAATAATTTTCTCAGCTTCAGCAAAAACAGGCCGAATAAAAGTATTCAACAGCTTGTCAAGTATTTGCACAGCTGAGATAAGTGGATTTAGTACAATCGAATATTAATTATACAAGTATTTCAAGAAGCAAGTATTGTTATTCTTAACTAAAACTTAATGATTTTTGTTAATTGAAATAAAGCTAAAATAAAATATAAATATTAGATAAAAATTTGAAATGTTGTCTTGGAAGCTCTTTGAAATAAAGATAAATGGAAAAATAAATAGACACATGAAAGCGAATTAATATGAATTAATACTAAAACATATAAGCAAGAAGCCGATAAGCTCAAGTGAGGGAGCTTTCCAGAATTAAAATGGATCACAAGTCTGCTCCTTAACTCAGTTCTTCACGCATCAATAACGAAATTGACCAGCTGATGAATCAGATGCAGCAAATTGAGACCCAGCAGAGGAAGTTCAAGGCATCCAGAGACAGTATACTGTCTGAGATGAAGATGCTAAAGGAGAAGAGACAGCAGTCAGAGAAAACATTTATGCCCAAGGTAACCTATGCTACTGTATTTCAGCCATTAATACCAGAACTGCTATTATTTACTGTTATATTATTTGTGTACCAAGTCTTTAATTTGGTTTCTCTGATGTTTCCCCCAGCAACGCAGTCTTCAGAGTCTGGAGGCCAGTCTGCATGCCATGGAGAGCACGCGGGAGTCTCTGAAGGCAGAGCTGGGAACGGACCTGCTCTCTCAGCTCAGTTTAGAGGACCAACGCAGGGTGGACGACCTCAACGACGAGATCAGACAGCTGCAACAGGTTCAACAATACAATTAACACAAATATAATTTAGTCAATTATTTACCACTTTACATAAGGACTTTGAAAACATCATGAATTTATTTAATATCTTTTTAAAACCTGTCTTTTTAACAGCATATTTCCTCGAAATATAAAATGTAAAAATAATAAAATGACAAATAAAAAATTAATGAAAAAAGAACATGCATATAAAATAATAATTAGATATTTTTAAATTACAATCATCTGACCTAAATTTTTCATCATTCAATGTATTTGTGTATTACAATTTTTAATTATATGTCTATATATATTGTTAGGAAGATACAAAAATTGGAAAGTGCACAACTCTAGGTAGTGCTATGGTCTAATTTTGTTGCGAAACAACTTGCATACAGCACAAGGAACTTTGATTTCAAACTCTGAATTTAATTTGTTTTAACTAAAGACACGAAAACGGTCAGTAATAAAATAACAAATAAATGACAAGCAATAGCACAAACAAATACAAAACCAAGATACTAATTAAATAAACAGTGCTTTAAGTTTTTCAGGTTGGTCTAACAGTAATATTCAGGTACAGAAATTCAATAATCTATTTAACTGTAAAATAACACTGGTAGATAGTCTTGACTCTATAAATAAACACTAATGATAGAAACAGCAGGTTTATTTAGGCTACTGTCTCTTTAAGATCTAACGCATGGATCTAATATACTGTTACACGTGCGGTTTGTTTCTCAACTGTTTACATTCACTTGATATATAACCGGCTGTGTTTACATGAATACTTGCCAAGACAGGCATTTTGACAATTTTCTATGTATTTTTGGCACCAAAAAAAACTCAATTCTGTAGTCACGCGCTGTATCAGAGATGGCTGTATGTGAGCACTTTAAGTGTGAGCGCACAGAAAACAGTCTCTCAGAGAGCGTGTGAGTACTCTATTGCCTGTATTAAGTTCATTATATTAAGTTCTCTTTCACGTCTGCTTGCGCTTGAATGGTTTGAAGTCACTTGATTGTTTAAACTGGTAAGACTTAAAAACATGCAAATGATAGATGCCGTCAGTGTTTGCGGGAATTTCCTGTTTTATAAGTGTGGAACCTGCGGGAATGAGTAGAATTATGCGCAATACCAGCAATCCCGTGCCGAAATTCAAGCCCTAAAGAATATATGTACAGTGGGGAAAAAAGTATTTAGTCAGCCACCAATTGTGCAAGTTCTCCCACTTAAAAAGATGAGAGAGGCCTGTAATTTTCATCATAGGTATACCTCAACTATGAGAGACAAAATGAGAAAAAAAATCCAGAAAATCACATTGTAGGATTTTTAAAGAATTTATTTGCAAATTATGGTGGAAAACAAGTATTTGGTCAATAACAAAATTTCATCTCAATACTATGTTATATACCCTTTGTTGGCAATGACAGAGGTCAAACATTTTCTGTAAGTCTTCACAAGACACACACACACACACACGCATAATTTTTTTAAAAATATAACACATTACATCAACAACAATCGTTTATCTCTATTATTGCTCAAAACATATTTGAAAACAAAATGATGAATTGCCTGGCCCTACCAGCAGGTACAGATGGCAACATGGACTGTTCACTGACCATCGGATGTGAACAAAAATGGCAAAACCTTGTCATCAGTTCCAATTTGATTAGTGAAGTTGCAGTGAATTGGCACTGAAACTACAGCTGCAGCTTTTTACCACCTCCAGCACGACACACATACAGCAGACAATTGCAAAGCTACTTTAAATGTTGTATAACCGGCCCACATCATTAGCCTGTTATTTTTATATGCCCTTCAATTTGGTTTGCTAATTTGTGTGCTTTTGTATTCTCAGACAGGCTTAGCATTTAAGCATATGCATACTAGTTTCATTTATTTCTTTAGATGTGCATTCATGTGGCCATAAGCCTCATGCTATGTTTTTAGTCTACATTGCCTTTATAATACGATTAAACCTGAACATGTGGCTTTTGGTCCTTCAGTCTGGGCTCAATTAAAGTTGTTTGTTTTTCATGCATGTCATGTTCTTGCTATAGGACAACAGACAGCTGCTGAATGAGAGAATTAAGCTGGAGGGAATCATGACCAGGGTGGAGACGTACCTCAACGAGAACCTGCGCAAACGTCTCGACCAAGTCGAGCAGGTGATGATACCGATTTTCCTTTTTACTTATATAAGCTTTATGAACTAAATGCACTAAAAATGTGTGTGTTTGTGTAGGAATTGAATGAACTGAGAGAAACCGAAGGAGGAACCGTCCTCACTGCCACAACGTCAGAATTGGATGGCATTAATAAACGCATAAAAGACACTTTGGCTCGATCTGAGGGTGAGTGAAGACTCAAATAGCGTTGTTGTTTTTTTTTCTTTCTTAAAAAGCACTACTTTTGTTGGTCTGCATTTTGTTTGTCATTTCATTTTTCAGATTTGGACTCCCTCATCGATAAGACGGAGGTGGAAATAAAAGACCACCAGAAGAGTATGGAGCGCTGGAAGAACATCGAGAAGGATCAGAACGAAGCCATCAATCACGACACAAAGGAGCTGGAGAAGATGACCAACAGACAGGGGATGTTACTGAAGAAGAAAGAGGAATGCATGAAGAAGATTCGCGAGCTGGGCTCCCTGCCGCAGGAGGCCTTTGAAAAGTACCAGACGCTCACGCTCAAACAGGTACAGCAACCATATCTGGAGCTTATTGTTTTTTTGCACTGAAATGCAAGTTTATTTTCCCTTTAGTCAAAAGTTCATGGTGAAGTTCCGTATAATTTCCTGTGACTCATTTAGAGTGATATTAAATCGTATTTTCCTTCTCCTTCTCCTTCTCCTTCAAAAAAAAAAAAAAAATTCCTTTTCGCAAATGAGCTCATAAACAAGTATTACCTAATTGTATGAAGACCACGACATGACGGGGTACCCTTGAAGAAGCCTTTTACCTCCTTCTCGGCTCATGTCTAGCTTTACTTTTCCATCTCATCCCCCTCCAGTCTCGCAGCCCTCCCACCTGGCTCTCATATTCACTGTCTTAGTTGATCTTCCTCCTTTCTCTCCACCGCTCCAGTCAGGGGCTCTATTGTGTGTCAGTCCTCCTACACAGAGGTGACTCATTCTTCATTACCCCATGCTTTTTTTTTTTTTTTTTCACCCTCTCTTGGTGAACTTGAGTGCGTGGAGTTGAGGAGAGAGGTTGAATTGTGCCATTTCTGTGTGTGTTGTTTTTAGCCATCTTCTGGAATTTTGTCATGCAGGTTCAATAGTGGAAATTATGGCGTAACATGCATTTAAGTTATTTCGGTGTGAAAGAAATTTACATATAATTGTAGATTGCAAAATGATAATTAGGAGCTGATCCTAATCTATGATCAGATTGTTACTGTTTTATTCTGTGGAACTACTAAGGGGACATGGGGATTGAAAAAATAAGAGATGTAAGTCTATTGGAAACTATATGGAAACTGTTTCAGTGTTTGTTTGCTTGCAAACGTTCTACAATGGCCCTTAGAAATTGTGTTTGCTCAGAACATTTGTAGATTTGCTCTCAAAAATGTTTTTACATTCGGTCGCAAAATTGTCACATTCCCTTGAGAAAATTTGCATTTACTCGCAAAATTGATTTTTTTACCTTGAGAAACTGTGCGTTCACTCACAATTTAGTTTTTTTCCATTCGCTTGCAGAACTTGAGCATTCAGAACTTGAGCATTCAGAAACTTTGCATTCATATGCAAAATCTTCTCTTTGCCCCAAGAAACCTTGCATTTGTTTACATTTTTCCAGTTGCTCAAAAATTGAGCAATCCTTTGCATTTACTAGCCATTTTTACTTAGAAAAATCTTTACAAAATGACAAAGTTTACATTTTGTCAATTTTTACAATTTTTACATTCCCCTGAAATGTTCACATGCAAAATATTCTCTTTCCCTCAAGAAACTTTGTACACTTATGCAATTCCCCCCCCCCCCCCTT